ACAACCCTTGCAACAATCTTCTTTAAAATGGGTCATCCATATTCAAGACAAGGAAGGATGATTCAATTCACCTGGGCTCCCCGACACAAACTGACAATCAATTAACCACTACAGCCATTAGCAGTCTTCTCTAATGTTAGTTTGCTACCTCATCATGATACACTTATCAATATCTGGGAGTGGAACATTGCTATAATGCTAATAGCAAAATGAAGATTGTACTCAAATATTACCATTTTTCTAGCTCTAATGTCAAATGAATCCAGTCCAGGATCCTACAGTACATTTAGTTGTTATTTGTATTTTTCTCTTCCAATGTATTGCACTTTCTCGGCCTTTCTTTTACTTTCATGACCTTCTCACTTTGGGTAAATGCTAGGGATTTATTTTGTATCTCAACTGTGGTTTGCCTGAAGTGTTTTGAGTGGTTACATGGAGGTCTGCTTTTTTGGCTCAAGTATTAGGGAAATGCTATATCCTTCTGATCCACAATAGGATGAGCTCTGTGTCACTGAAAGTATCTGTGAGGGAGAGCTTTACTTTTGCTGAACACAGGGAAAGGACAAGGAAAACACTTAGTGAACTGTTGAAGTAATAGACTTTGAGAATATCACTGACCTTCAGAATATCTCCACAGTGTATTACTAGTGGTGTGATCCTCCCTCGTTGTATGAAGGTTGGAAATGCTATGTGTCACCACTTCAAACTTATAATTGGTCTTTGTCCCTTTTACTTGGTGAGTATCTTGTAAGCTATGCTTTGAGGCTCTACTATTTTTTTTTTTTTTTTTGAAGTCATGGGTTCTGAGAAGAACGCAATGTACTTTGTTTTCTGGAGTCCTTCTATGAGGCATTTTCGAAACTTAACTTTCAAAAGATGAACTAAGTAAAGACTTTCCAACCTACAAATAATGGTAATACTTATATCTGTAAATACCACGGCTGAAAATATTATTATATACTTGATTTAAGTTCATAGCATTGTTTCCTCCCTTTCACATGAGTAAACTCAGAGGAGGAGACATTAAATGATTTGTTCCCAAGGACTCACCACCAGGAAGTGGTAGGGCAGGAAGCCATACCTGGCCATGGACATCTTCTTCACAGCACGCACGCTGACTGAGTAGACATAGTTAGGTGGCAGTGAGCTCTGACTCACTGAAAGTGTCTGTGCAGAGAGAGCTCAGCTTTCGCAGAACACAGGGAAAGGACAATGAAAACACTTAGTGAATTGTTGAATTAATAGACTTTGAGAACATTATTGGCCTCAACATATTGAAATATAGTCATTAAAGGCCCATCTTCTTTATTTTCCCTTCCTTTTTTTTTTTTTTTTCTCTTTTGGTAGTTGACAGAACATTTCATTCTGCTTACCTGAATGAACTAAAGCCCCAGTGAATTTCACTGAAAGAAAAAGGTTCTTTACCACAGCTATTTTTCTCTTCAGAATCACCAGACCATGGGTCCATGACTGGTTCCAGTCAATAATACCAAATTTTGGGCCCTGAAACAGTGTCACAGAGGATGCAGGTTCGGGGAAGTAGGAACAAGAGGTTCCGTTCATCTGTCTTTGTTACTATGGCCTCTAAATTCATAGAGTACAAGCAAAACCTACTTGTCTGCTAGATCCACTAACTTCAATGAAATGAGTCTGTTTCAAAGATTGCTTTGATATTACCCAATTACGTGAATATTAATTTAAGGACAAATAGAGATAAACACTATGGATGACTTTGGAATCCCATATATATCAGGGTAATTTTTTTTGGATTTTCTTTTTCTTTCTTTCTTTTTTTTCTTTTTTTTTTTTTTGCTCAGGGTCTCACTACATAGCCTACATTAGTAGTGATCCTCCTGATTTCTGCCTCCCAAGTGCTGGGATTACAGGCGCACGCCACCGCACCTGGACTCCCTCGCCAGCTCAGCGCACCCAAAGGTGGGGCCGGCGCGGCAGGCAGAGCCAGGTATTGAACCCTGACCCCTGCGCTTACCTAAGCAAGTGCTTAGTCCGCTGAGCTATACCGCTGGCCCCTTATATCAGGGTATTCTCATAAACTATGTTCTGTTTTAACATGAAAAGTCACTAATTTTTTTTTTTTTTGATGACTCTTCGCTTTTATTCCAAATGAAGATGATCAGTTTGTTCAAACACAAGCTTGCGCACAAGTTTTACCTGAATATTTTAAATACAAACTCTCCTGGAACAACATACTTTTGATATAATTTTCATTTGAGGGGATGTAAGTATTACATTTTCTCATTTATAATCTATCCCAAGGCATAGTGTCTATTAGTGTATCTTTTATGAAGTTAGATCCAGATTCACAGGTATAACTGAAACAATCAAGACAAGCTTGTCAGCAAAGATCAAAAATCACTTTGTTTTACAGAAAAGGTAAATTCTTAATAGCCAGTTCTAATTTTCTTGTATTTCTAATGTACTTCTTTGTATTTCTAATATTATCTTCATAACCATAGCTTTCAGTTCTTTTTTAAAAAAAAGGCTAATAAAGGCTTTGGAAAAGGGATTGAGCATACAGTGCACAACACAATCATCAATTTCAGATGTTTCTTTCCTTGTTTTTAACTTACAGATTATGTCAGCTAATAAAGATAAACAGTAATGATTGATAAAGTTAGTAAGTATTGATAAGGAACATAAGCTTAAAATGGGAATGGGGTTTGCCCAAGGACAATTTAATGTAAAATACAAATTCAAAATAAAGCCAACAGGAAAAATTTGAATAACAGTAAAAGATTACAGGTTTCTCCTACTAGGTTTAATTGAACTACCAACAATCGGGTTGATCTCTTAAAAGAAAAAACTGATTTCCTCATGGAGAAATGAGAAAAAGAGTAATTCCTTTGTACGGGATGCTTAAATAATTTGTACTGAACTTGGAGTACAATCAGAGTTTTAATTTGGATTAGTGGGCCAGTTGTCTAAGAAGGAGGTTTGGGTCCTGTTGTGAGTTGGTCTTTATTTCTAATTCTTTTCTAACCACGATGCAGGAAGTAGACTGACTGTGGGCAACTCTTTTATCTTTTGTATTTCCAACATGGAAATGGTGATGCAATTGTTAACCTAATACCTGGGTTTTTATTAGAACAAATAATGGATCTAAACAGCTTATTGGAAATACAAAGGCAGGAAGATTCCTCATCAACATCTTTACTTGTACCTATCCTCACAACGCTCCCTCCATCACCTCCCTCCACTGGCAAATGAAGAAATCTAAAGCCATATAGCTTAACCAGAAAAATGATTTTTTTTTTTTTTTTTTAGTAGAAAAAGCTTATCTAGTATTTCAAGTCCAGCATTTGGTAGTATGAATGATTTAAATGATTTAGTAATATAAATAACTTTGTTAAGAAATTGTCTTTGTGTTTTTTTCTTTTCTTTTCTTTTCTTTTTTTTTTTCTTTTGGTATTTTTTAGAGAAGGGTCTACAGAGTGTTCAGGGTCTCACAACCAGATCAAACTCGTAGTGATCTGTTTGTTTACAGCCTCCCAAGAGCTGGGATTACAGGCATATGCCACCACACCCAGTCTCAAGAAATTGTCTTTCTTCCTGTCTTTTCTTTTGAATTCTGTTGTTGGTACAGGTTCTAGCCAGGCAGCTCAGACTCATAGTGATCCTCCTGATTTTAGGCTCCCCAAAGCTGGGATTATAGGTGTGCTCCACCAACCCTGGACTCAGTGGCTGGATGGAATCCTGTCTGGGGCGGGGCTGGCATGGCATGTGGTACCAAAGATTGAGTCCCAGTCTTTGCACTTGCCAGGCAGGCACTAAGACTGTGAAGGTATTTCTCCAGCCCTGTCTTTTTCTTTATTCTTTCCATCTTCCCAGGTTTTGTGCTTATTCAGGACCACTGTGTGTGACAGGGTGGCCACAAATACTTCGCAGCTTATATTCTAAGAGCTTGGCTGCCACAGAAATCTGGTGTCCATACCTGAACCAATCTTTTTAATGAGATAAATGGATATTTCTTATTGGATTGGCCTGAATCATGCCCTAATATTTCAGTGTCCCTTTGATTATGCAAATGAACCAAGTGGAAGAGGATTACTTTCTTAAGGAAAATTGGGATATTTCTATCAGAAGAACTTCAAATGGTAGCAAAAGTACTGGCTGGAAAAGCAGCAGCTGTTAATTTTGGGTGTCAGGTATTTTGTCCCAGCAAGAGAAAATTAACTGAGACAGAATTACTGTCTGCAGTTTCCCTTTGAAGTCATTCCTGATCTTCTCTCTGTGAATGATGTCTCCTACTTTTGTCTTTCTTTAGCATTTTATGCCTCTTTTTGCTCTTATTTTAGTGAGATTTCTGTTATGACCCAAAATCTTTCCTTACATTCTCTAATGTCCATCTTCTTTGAGGGCAGAGATGGTATCTTACTTGACGTTGAATCTTCAGCAGTGCCCCAACACGTATCTGATTGTTAATAGACTTCTCGCAAATATTTATCAACTTGACTGCTAAATGTTATACACGTTATGAATAATGAAAAATCAATAAGACAAGGCAGCTAATTTCATTATGTACATAATTTATTAACTGACTAATGGACTGAAAAGGCAAATAGGCAGTGTTCACTCCACTGAGAAGCCATTTCTTTATTTAACTTTAAAAAAATTTTTTTAGTAAGGGTGTGCAGGGTCTCACTACATAGATCAGATGCACAGTGATCTGCCTGCGTTCAGCCTCCCAAGAGCTGGGATTACAGGCACGGGCCACCACAGCTAGTCTCAGTGGTTGTATCAGCATGCTCTGGGAGCTGGGCCAGCATGGCATGCCGGGGATCAAACCCTGGCCGCTGTGTCTGCCTAAGCAGGCCCTTTAATCCACTGAGCATATTGGCCAGTCCCCCATTTATGGTTTAAGAATTAAGAAGAAGTGTAGCTTCAAGAGAATGTTGAGCTTTGGTGAGGACTCCCGCAGCTGGGTGTTGCAGGACCTGCTCTGTGTGCACTAACTCTGTTTTTCTCTTTTTGTTCTCTAGTTGTCTGGCTTTACATCTAAGCTTGTTCCAGCTATCCAGAATGCCCAAAAGAATTCCACTGCATCTGGAAGAGAAAAGAGACTGACAGTGTTAACTCAACCCATTTTGATTGAAACCTACACAGGGCTGATGTCATTCATTGGAAACCGCAACAAACTCGGCTATTCCCTCGCTCGTGGGAGTATTGGTTTTTAGCCTGTTTTTGTTATATATATATATATATATATATATATATATTGTACAGCGATATTCCATTATTGAAATGTTTGTTTCAGTCCACTATATCTTTGCATTGAAACAGCAAATTATATTTGAATAGTCCTGCAGGACTTTGAACATATTTAGAGTGTCAGGAAGTCTGAATGCTTGATTGGAGTGAGAGATACACATTTCAGCTCTCACATTAGAGTAATCAGTTTTCCTTAAAAAACAGAAAATCAATACTACTGAGCCCATCAAATGTTTTTAAATGAATTCCTGATTGTAAACTCTGAAAAGATGCTGTGGGTTCTTGTTTTTCCTGGTCTTTGAATGTGGACATTGTCAAGTCTTGATCTTTAGACCTCTAATCCTGATTTATTTGTTCACTACATTCTCATTGTCTGTATTATTTTAGCGACCACTTTTACACCTACAACTTTCAAGTACATAAACCGATAGCCAACATTTATTCCAAGATTCAGCTTTGAATTTTTATCTGACAATCGTCCACATGTTAGGGTTCCACAAGCCACTCAGATTCAGAGTCCTCAGAATCCTAGAGTTATTTGTGACATCTTTATGGTCTCATTCATCCATCGCTGAAATCCATTATTTCTGATCAATCAAAACTCCTTGCCAAATAAACAGCATACAGTACTACAATGGCTTATCATTGTGCCCTGATACAGTTTAGCTCTGGAATACTCCCTTCCCCCATCCCATGCCTTCTACATCTAGAGACAAGGCTTTTGGAAGATGATTAGATTATGGGAGCTCTGTAGCTGACTTACAGTTAGACGTGGAACCTAGGAAAGGGGGGGTCACACAGGACCTTACCTAGGGGGGCATCTCCCTCTCTAGCTCCTCTCTTCTCTCTCTCTCTCTGCTTCTTGGCCATTACTCTGTGAGAAGTTTTGGGCCACTATATTTTTCTGCTATGGCCTTTTTGCCTTGGAGCTACATGACCATGAGCTGAGGCAATGCACCAAAATAAATGCTTTCTTCTTTCAAGTTGTAGATGTCCTGTACTGTGCTTTAGCAATGATGAAATTATTAAGACAGACATCACTGTCCAAGTGTCATATTTAAAACTTAGCTTTACTTCAAAATTTTTCTTATTCTTCTATTCTTCTATCTATAGCATTGGATCCACTTTTTAATTAGGCTTACCTGATTGTTACCACAGCCTTTTGACTAGGGCTCTCATTTCAAGGCTGTGTCAAATCATCATGTAGTTGGTTGCCAGATTCCTCAAGCTCTATTTGCCCTTATCATTCCTTTATCAAAATTTTTCAGTGGCTCATTTTGCAGCTTGATTTTCAAGTATAGTTTTCACTTGTAGAATCTTTTCTTCTAAAGATGGCCTCTGTATGAGACTAACTATATAAAAACAGAAAAATTAGGAGCATAGTGGTTGAAATAGAGGTGGAATTGTCACTAAACTTCCCTGTAGGTTCGGCTTGATGGCACTCAGAGGGTTTCAAGGACCATGTCTTCAAAACAATGTCCAAACCAGCTTGCCCCACTGATAATTTCCTTTTGTTTCCTGTCTATGTCTCTGTGCCTTAGATTTGTTTTCAATAATTCAAGAAAGGATCACATCTATTCTGATCTCTTCAGAATTCTTTGACTTTTTATTTTGAATCTGACTTTATTTCCATTTATTTAGCAAAGAGGCATTAAATAGTGATCACCATGAATTAAATATTACCAAGGTAAGCCTTTTATTTTTTCCAAGAACTCAAACTTGAAATGCCTTGGTTGACATCAAGTTGAGGATTCTAGCTTGCTTACTTTATTTATTTTTGGCTTGTGGGAAGTGTTATTTTAGTTTTTGCTCTAAAAAGCTTACTTCCGCAATTTTGAACATTTGTTCTCTGATACATTCACAAACACCAATATGATATAAATAATCGGAATCAAAATCTTGAGTAGCTCTATTGCATTTTGTCTCTGTTTACGCACATTAGTATTCCTTTCCTTTCCTCTTGTTTCCTTTCCCTACACCCCTACCCTTTGATGCTAGATATTTGTTATCATCTTCAAGGCAAGGAATTTCTATTCAGACTGTGAAAGGAAATGTTGAAATCCTTAGCTGTCCTGTCAACAGTAGTGGGATGAAAAGTCTTAGGATTGTTTTGGCTCTGGATCTGAAGCAGCCATCACTGGCAAATTGTGATACTATTGCTGCCCCCTAATCCCCATATGCCCGAAGATAGTGGCATCTGTGGTCAAAAGCCTCTGAGATGTCCCGCACATTCTTTGGAGTTACCATTTAAGGAACACGCTGACAATTGCCTTCTCTGCACATTTGTCCTTCTTGTAACCTAAGCCAGACTATTCCCAGATGACCTTCTGAAGGTCTCGATGCAACATCATGCATGGAAGGTACTTAAGATGAGTGGAGAGAGACGTTTTCCATCCCTAAGACATTTCCATCTTTAAGATTCAGTCAATCACAACCATATAAGTCCTTAATGGAGCCTAAGCTGTTTCATATGAAGAAGCAAGAAATAGAAGTGGACATGAGAACTATCTTTACATTTCATAAAGACTATTAGGCAACATATTGTGTTCACTGAGAAATGAAATCTAGAAAACAGTATTGTAATCAAAGGGTAAGAATAGTAGGTACAGTATGTGGATAGTAGGTCAAGACTTAACAAAGCAAAACAATTAAAAGCCAGCTTCTTTCAGGAGGAAGGAGTTGCTTCCTGGAATAATGTGCCCTCACTCACTTGACCTGTTCAGGAAGGAAACGGTAAAGTGGGTATTGTGAAATCATTGCCATATTAAAATATTCGGGGAGATTACATAATGGTTTAAGGCCAGTGACCTGATGATTCTCCAAATAATTGGCAAATAATTGCTGAATGTTTACAGTTAGATATTTTTCCCCTTTGGAAAAACAGACACAGTCACATGATATCCTGAAAAATCACCTTAACTTTCCTAATGTTTAAGGTTGTCATCTCTAAAACGGAGATGAAGGCACTCAGGCCCATCTTATGAAGATCTTTAGAGGGTCTGACAACATAAGGTCAGATTCTCCTATTACCTATGAATCACTGAACGCCTACCTATGGAGCAATGTGACTTGCATCAGAACATGGGGCAACCAGGGCCAGGGCAATAGCTCAGCAGCAGAGTGCCTGCCTGGCAAGTGCAAGGTCCTGAGTTCGATCCCCATTACTGCAAAAAAGAGAAAGAAGGAAAGAAAGAAAGAAAGAAAGAAAGAAAGAAAGAAAGAAAGAAAGAAAGAAAGAAAGAAAGAAATTATTGTTGCTTGGGGACCATGAACCTACTGACTATAGTTTTTCTCCTTGATACTTGTTGTTCTCATTTGTATTCTTTGTTCTTAACCTTCAAAGGAAGAACAACAAGGGAATTATAGGTGCACCTGGAGTTTTTCTTCAGACTATCATCTGATATGTTTTCCAAAGCAGCCCTGTAAATTTACCTGGGAATTGGATTAGACACAGGCGGTCTTAAGTACAAAGCACAGCACCACAAGAGTATCTTGGTTGGTGGTCTTCTTTATCTGATCTTCATTTCATACAGGAATTCTCCCTAGAAAACTTTCTAATAGGCCTCCTTTCAAACACAGCTTGAGTAGGTCCATGGGCAGATTCTTCACTATCTTCTGATACATCTTGAGCCACTTTGATCATTAGAAATTTTGCTTTGTGATGTCCTAGAGCTCCTAATGTCCTTCTGCCATCTTTTTCTTTACAAAAGAACAGTATAGATTGGAGTGAGGCAAGTTTGGGCTGGATTTCTATGTCACAAGATGAGACTTTTGAGTACAAAGCGAAAGCTGATGGATTCGCTAACATTTATAAGATAGAAAGTATGAAAAATCATTGAGCCTCACTTTTCTGGGGACATTCCTCTTTGGAGGCCCAACTTTTTTTCCCTCCTTTAAGCCAGAAAAGTGAAGCTGATTTCTGAATTAGTTACTTTTGGCTCCTTTGCCCTGAGGCCTATTTTCTTTGGGTCTTTGCTGAAGCAGTGCTAAGCAAGCCAATCCACAGGGCCTGGAGCTAAGGAAACATTCGAATCTAATCCAAGGCTTTTCATTTACAGAATCTGAAGCAAAGGCCTAAAAACTGCAAAGAAATTGCATACAAAAAAAGCTGATAGATTCTTACAGTTGTGGGATTAGACTAAATCTTCCAATTCTTATTTTTCAGCTATTATTCTTTCTAGTATATTAGAAGAGCATATCCTTTGGACCAATGTATCATTAGTTAATTCTGAAGTGAGAAAACAATAAGTCATAGTTGTGTAGGGGGAATTTCCAGAAATCACTTGTATTTTCTTAAAGGCTGAGGTCACTCATAGAGCTCTCTGATTTCCTATCTGATCAAAATGCCTGGACAAAGCTGCAGAAGACAGCAGAGCCAGCAGGTATTTTGTAAGGCAGATTTACCTCCGCCTGGCATTTCATGGGGCAGGGGAGGGAGGGCAAAAGTATTAAATTTAGGCTTAAATCTCTGCAGAAATTCTTTGCACATAAGAGACCAAGTTGGAGAAAAGATGACTTGTGCCAAGGGGAAGAAAGAGAGAGGCTAATGCCTGTGGTTTTCAAAAGTTAACAACAACAAAAAAAGCCCAAGTATTTGCACAGGGATGAATGCTTATTGGCTCTGGGCCAACAATTATACAAGGGCCTGTGCCCACATCCTGTAGCTGTGGTTTAGGGACGCTGCTCATGAGTGACTTCTTATACTTAGTGGCAGGAAACTTTAGTCACTGATGTGTAAACTTACCTTTGGCCTGCACCTCCCACAATGTACTCTGAAGGCAGCTCAGCAGCCTGGCCTCCTGATTCCTTTGCAGATACCGATCTCCAGAGGTGATTGGAGGGCGGCCTTGACAGTGACGGGTTCACCAATACCTGATTATGGCAACCCTTTAGGATAACTCTTTAGCCATAAGAAGGAAACATGGTATCTTCACTACATCCCATTTGCCCTCAAATCTCTACACATAATAATGTGAACCATATTTCACATGGGGGCTGTAATCAATGTGAAATATGACAAGCAAAGTCATAAAAACTGCATCGCAACCTAGATCTCATATATCATGTGCTGCTTTATGCTCAAAATTTTAGCAATTGTTCTAAAGAAAAATCCAACAGATCTCTTCTTCAGTAAAACCTAAAGCAATATACAAGGCCAGTTTAATTAGCTCTTGCCTTTGTAAGGTACATAGGAGAGACCACGGTGCTCCACATGGATGAAGGATGAACTGGGGTTAAGTTCTCTGAACCACCATTTTGCCTCGGTGTCCCAGCGATGTTCCTTCCATGCATCTCTGAGATTTTCTTTCCTTCTTTACATATTCCTTACTCAGTATGGAATAATTGAATCTAAGGTTAAAAAATGCCTTAAAGTTCACCTAGCTTATAGGCTGCTGTCTATTGCAGGACAGCCTGAACCAAATTATGCAGCTTAAACTTTCACGTAGCACACAAGTCCTCAGTATTTAAGGCAATTGCTTTTTTTTATTAGTGGGCTGAGAGGGCTTTGGGTGATGGGTAGCTGCTATTGTGAATGGTACTGAGCTGTTAATGGAAGTGCCTGCCAACGCTTACAATTAGTGGTTCGCTGCCATTTTCCTGGGAGTCGTAGGTGCCAGCTACTTGCTTGCTTGGGGACCTTTTCTAGAGATCAAAAATGGAGGCTTCCAGCAATTCTCTGTTCTTTCTTAGTGGCTGTTGGTGACCCTCAGCGTATCCAAGAGAGACTGGTGCCTGCTCTCATGAGCCAGAAGAGGCAGAAATATGTCATCTCAATGTGGCTTCACCGAGGCTTGTGTTGCTCTCTAAGGGAGCAGTGCATGGACTGAACCACTAAAGGGACAGGGAGCTTTTTTAATGAAAGAGAAAAAGCAGCCTGCAGGACCTGTAGTTTCAGACTTCCTGTTTGGTCACCGGAAGGGGAGGGGCTTCTGCGGACCCAAT